ATGAAGCAACTAACCTAATACCCAAATAAAATAACGCCAGCGGAAAGACAAAACTCGGTCGTCGGTTGACTACCCAAATAATATCTCTCCCCTTTGAAAAAAGCTGACAATTTATGACAGTTTCATTAAATTTATCTTTAATTTTCTATAGTAATAAATTGCATTTAAGGGTACGGCTCTCAGGATTCATCTCAAGCTTCTTAAAAAGTAAGAAAAGTTCGAACTAAAGCTTGGTAATCGTTCTCCTCCTTTTCACGTTATATTATTCATACTTCTTGTCTCAATAGAAGACTTTGTTGTTACAATGTAAATGTAAATATCTGAATCCGGATCCTACACTCTTCTTCAATTGTTCAGTGTAAACTATTTAGCAGTTGTACAAACCAATTTATTTTATCAGTCGCTTTATTTCGACCAATTTTATGATCTCACTCATTTTTTTTAACACTTAAATGTATCAAGCATACTATATGTAATACTAATCCACATTCACATAACTCACCTGTTTGCTTTTCGGCCGCTTTCAGCGTGTAACCGTCCACCTGCACCGCTTCACTGCGTCCGCGCAAATTCACTGCATAAACAAATATACGAAACAGGCGACCCGAATCTAGGCCGGTTACACTCAATACTGGATATTTTGAGGAGATATTTGCTTGCAGCTGGCCAGTGTGTTGATCGAATATTTCCATGAGAAACCATTGACGTAAGCCACCATCGAAACCTGAAAATAATACAGAAGATTTTTTTTTTGTTGAGATTTAAAGCTTTTTTCTGGAATGCTCTAATTAAAAATACATATAAATGGTTTACATACATACTTTAGTTTTCGTAATTTGGGAGTTTAAATATTTCCAAATCCCAGCGAAAACAATAACATCGAGCCCTAACCGCCAAAAAGTTGTAAGCGACACTTTTTTCAAAATTTTATTTTTGATTAAGAAGTGCATCTAGATACTCTGCAAACATATCTACATCAAAAGGAAAAAAAAAAAATTCGCTTACGAGTTTTTGGTGGTTAGATCTCTTGGATGTATGTATTTTATATACACATTTGCCATTTTGCGTGCACAAATATTCAATTTCAAAATTGTGCCCAATTGCAGCTGCACCGTAACTACATTGGTACATATTTGTTTTGTTAAATTACATTGCCTTGTATTCAGATTTTCCGATGAGTATAAGGATATTTTATGAAAATCTGATTTCACTTTAAATATGTAAATCAAAAGCAAATGTATACGGTTGCGAAAATTTGTTGCATAAAATTGTCATTTAAATAAGAAAAATACGTTGAAAATCGAATCGAAATCGATTGTTAAACTCCTGCCAAAGAATGACAGTGCGCATGAGTAACAACAAAAGAAAAGCTTGACATTCTCAAGCTAATATCAGAGAGTACTCGTTCAGTGCGTACCGCAGCATATTCGGCTCAATCGAAAAAGTTGGTGGACAAAAATTGCCAAACCGGTCTCAATACTGCAGGCAAATATTCTGGAAAGTCTAATGAAAATATCCCTCCACTCTAGCAACGGAACAGTATATTCTAAGCATCGTCCATTTACTTAACCACGGAGTCTTCTTCATCAAGCGCGTCACTTGTGTTGCCCTTCAAAGCAAGCAGTGAGAAGTGTTCTCTCCATATCTCTAGTGTACTCTGGAGGCTGTAGGAACCAGACGTAGTTTTGAAATCTTTTGATGGCCGCCATATTTTTAAATGAAATTTTTGCCTGTCAACAACAACAACAAACTTTTCTCAGTCACGTTTTAAATTTCCTTCTTCCTAAAAAGGCATCCCTCCTCTTCTTCTGAGATGCTTGTTTTAGCTGAATTTCGCGTCGATCTATCCATGTCAATTTTTTAAAAAGCTCTGGTTTCTTATTTATTTATGTTCAAAAATGAAGGAAAAAAAGTTTACGTTTGCATGCTTCCAATATTTTGGAAAATACTTGAAATTAATTTCAAATGCTTGCAATTATTTAAAAAACCATTCATAAAAATTTTTCCATAGGTACATTTAATTAAAAAATATTTTTAATTTGCCATCTATACTGATATATATTTTGAAGACCGTTTTTTTTCTAATCGAAAAACTCGATATTTTTGAAATTTTGGACCTCGACTCTTCACCGTCAAAGGATGATAATAGAAGAAGAATAATTTCGATATCTCAAGGCGGCGTGGCACCTCCCATACAAACTAAAGTTTTCACACAACATATCTCTGGATGTATTCCTCGTAGAGTGCTGCAACTTGGTATAGAGATATATAATATCAACGCCAAACTCATGGAAAAAATGGGAGTTATTGAAATAGGTGCCACGCCCTCTTGATATATCGAAATCTTTTGATCAGCCTTGATCTATTATCAGCCTTGGATAGTCTGGAGTTGAAATTTCAAAAATATCGGTACAGCTGTTCTCGAGTTTTTCGAACAGAAAAAAAACGAAAAAAAATGGCTTTCAAAATATATATTAGTATAAATAATAAATGAAATACATTTTTTAAAAAAGTTGTCTATGGAAAAATGTTTATGAATAATTTTTTAAGTAATTGCAGACATTTGAAATTAATTTCAAGTATTTTCCAAAAAGTGGAAGCATTCAAATGTAATTTTTTTTAATTAAGCAGCTACTACAAAAATCTTAAATCAAAAGGTAAAACATACAACGTAAAATAGTTTCGAAAAAATGCAAAGATTCTATAAAAATTCAACTCTGTACATGTCGTACGTAATAGCTACTTTCAGATGAATAATAAAATAAAAATGAAAATAATTCTAAAAATTTAATACATTTAACGAGTTTGGGCGCAATGAGCTTCTCAGATCAAATTCCGCATAACTTCTCGTTCTGAGAGTCAAACAAAAACTGAAGGGTTTTGCTGTATAGAGCACTTCAAAAGAGGCAGCTACTGAGCGTCAGCAAAGTTAACGGTATGAAAAGGCACGGCGAACTAAAAAAATGTCTTGGCTGTGCCTCACGGATCAGTTGCGCTCGACGAAGGGTTAAAAAGTTAAATTCAATTTTAGCATCCTAGCGTCATGCGGGTTCACTAGCATATTCTATTCCCTGAAAGTAGCTGGTGTAGCACCTGCTGGTACGAAGAGAAAAAAGGATGTAAAATTCTCATTTAAAATTTGTATTTTATAGCAAAATTCGTTAAAAATTTAAATATTTTGCCATTAGTGTCTATAAGCTTTGCAACTTTTATTTGCTTTCGCAAAAATTAAATTTTAATCTTACATGAATTCAAATTTTTTACTTTGGGATATTAAGGATGCAAAATATTCGAATGCATTTAACAATCATATACATATGTACACGTGTGAGTGTGTACTTAGTGGGAGAGCAAGAAAGATCGATGGACAGCGCAGCATGCTAAAAGTTTAATGAATACCTTAAATATTCTGGTTTACAGTAGTGCAAAGGTAAACTTGAATCAAATAAATTCGATTTGCAGACGAACGAAAGTTGTTTGCATTGCCAATGTAAATAAAAATCAAATAAATAAAAAGCTTACATACATTTATTATATTTATCTTCATACGTTCATATGTATATGTATATATATACATATGTATACATATATACATACATATGTATGTATGTATGTATTACATTGAAATGCGCAATGCCAGAGCAAGGGTCACGAGTGCAGTTCAATTGGCAAGGCAACCGTGCAAGTCGCAAATGCAAAGCTCTTATTGAATGGCAAGGAAAGCTCTGATAACATTAAGGTATCGAAATATACATACAAAAGAAACAAAAAACCAAAAACAAGCTAATACAAAAACAACAATCTCATAATAAGGCAATCAACAGCAAAAACAAAATATGTATCTTTGAAAATTACAGCACTAAATATATATATATATGTACACAGCATGCACACTGACACCTACATACATACCTACACGAAATTCACTCAGCCAAGTCAAGTCAAGTACTAGTTGCAGCAAACTTTTCGACTTGTTGGCCTTATTAACCCCAAAACTCGACACTAAATCGAACAGCCAAGACAGCAAAACAACACAAACAAAACAAAAGCTACCTCCCTCACCTTTTAGTAAGTAGTTTTAGACAGTTAAGCTGCCAACTGTTAGCTAACGAAACTTCTACGAGTACTCGCAACGGAAACGTACTTGGCTTTACTGGCTGCCTTGCGAGTCGACTGACTTACGTTTCCTAGCATTTGGCAAAAAAAAAAAAAACAAAAAACAGAAAGCATAACAAGTGCAACAAAATCATTGACAGCTACAACTACAACACACAACAGCACAAACACTAACTTAAATATGTAGTAGTTGGGACAATGAATGAAGGAGAGGCGAGACAGGAAGAGATAGAAGAAAGAGTGAATAAAAGGTAGATAATGGGGTGGTAAAGGGTAGGAAAAACTAAAAATCCAACAGGCAGCTGTAACTATAGCCAGTCATACTAGCGAATGCAATTCGAGCAGGTATGTAGGTATGTGTGCATCATTTGCATGCATATAAGCTGCATTGCAATGTATTTGCTGCTGCTGTTGTTGCTGCTTTCGATTTTGCTCTGCTCCATCAACTGAGCCTCATTTAAAAAACATGAACAACTTGAGTGCACTGCTGCAATATGTATGCACGCCACTCACTTACATTTGAATGCATTTTTACAACGTATGTACATATGAATGTATGAAAGGCTACATATTTATATACATATGTATGCATTTATATATGTAGTTTTTTTTTTTAATTTTCAGACGTTTTTTTTTAAATATTCATTATTTGAACCGAACCGTAAACCTTATTTTTGCATTGGATTAAATCGAGTTTTCACCCAAAGTTTATTTATATACCAGAATCTAGACTTCATAATTTTATTTTATTGAATAACTGCGCTTGATTGTAATTGGCTCAACACATGAAAAAGTGGAAAAAGGCAACAAGCATTCACAAGGCGAACTTGGCACAGTGCGTAGGCAACTGTCTGAGTCATTGGGATCGTCGGTTCGAATCCTACTGAAAGAAGTTTGATGAGGAAATGTGGTGATTTCCGAAATAGCTATTACTTCTACTATTTATTCTTATTTTTCTTTCAGAATTTGGTTGAAGAACGCCCTTAGAATTCGGTTCAAAAGAGCCCTATCTCACTTCAAAATGTAATTTTTTGAATCGGTAGCTGAATAGGGCTTTTTGAAACGAATTTTGAAATAGGGCGTTCTTGAAACTTTTTTTGAGATAGGGCGTTTTCGAACTGGCTGCCGAGATAGGTCCATCTTCCACTCAGCACTCGATATGTTGTCAAATAACTGACGCATCCTTTATATATGTACATATACATATCGTCGTTTAAAGTACAAGACCGCGTATCAGCAAAATGAAGAACTGCGTCAGCAGTCGATATCGAATTATAAACTTGAATTTACGTAGTCCATAGAAAATTTACTAAATTTCTTTGAAACTTTTAGAGTCAAGCCAGTGACTAATACCTATATATTTATCTAACAAAGACAGCGTTGGCGGCATTTACTTGTCTCAATTTTCTGTCAGAATCATTTGAATACCCCGATCTAATGCACTTCGTCCATATGCGTCGTTAGTCTGGAAATTTTTTTGCTCTTAGAGAATCAGGGGTATTATGGGAATTTCAACTGGTCCAACATTTAGCAACGCCTCATATATAGTCATCCAAATGATTAAAATCTGCACGGCTGGATAGCCATAGCTCTGGAGATATGGGGCCA